TCATGAAGACATCCAGCAACTCTTACGTGAGAGTTCTGACTTGGATCCCAACTTCTGTCATCGCACAGTCTTCAGTTGCTATGGCTGCAATTCTTACCTTGGAGTTTGTCTCGTTTTTCCAGGAGTTGAAGGGCAAGCCGGTGTGGTTCTTTCTCCGCCTTTTCGAAATCCTTCCTCAAAGCGCAAAGAGACTCTCTAGCGTTATTCCGTTCTCTCACTGCGTGAGCGAGTTGAACCTCTCTACTGCTCGATAGTTCCGCCAGGTGCGACGCATGCCGCTCAGCAGACTCCTTATCTGTGGAAAGCCAACCATCACTGCATATCGGTACCTCAACGAACCCTCCAACGCTTTCAGTAACTGTTCTTTCAGGCTTTGGGTTTCCACAAGTTTGTGATTCACCATTTCGGCGGCCGCTCTTTCGGCAGCCGCCTTCTCGTTTCGAAAGCTCTCAACCTTCTCAGTGAGATTCGAGATTCGCCCCTCTAGCTGTACGAAGTCGGACATTGGGATCCCATTGTTGTTGTACGACGTGGGACATTGGGTTGTTTCTTACCTCGTCTACTGTGTTGCTGAGTCGTTTTATTATTGTTTCCAAGAACTTTTCTCGCTCCTTCGACATCCGTTCGTTTTCAATCATGATTCCTACATTCAGTCCTCTGTGTTCAAACCTAATGAGAATCGATCACACCCAGGAGGAATGGAAAGCCCGTCTGGCCTTTAGTCCACAATAGTACTCTCCACATTTAATCATCATATATTGGTGTGCACCTGTTATGCACGTATCTCATCTTACTGTGAGACGTTTCAGAAGATGAGTAGCCCACCTAGAAATGCTAACGATAAGACGTTACATGGAGAAAGCGCGCCAAGCGGCCTCATGAGCCATAACGCCGAAGAAGCACCCCAGAGCGAACCTTCATCCCCAAGACGCGCTTCGGAAACGTCAATGAAAAGTCAATCAAGACGAAGATCGAGCCAAGGATCCCTCTCCACAAGCGCGTCAAATCCAACCCAGATACCTGAGATGGAAAACATCAACCTCAATCCAACCCAGATACCTGAGATGGAAAACATCAACCTCAATGATCCACCAATACAGCAAGACGCGGTTGCAGAAAAACGCTTCATCCATCGAGATGATCTGATCCGCCTGGCAAGTGGAAATGTGGAGAATGTGGATATTGAATTGATAGGGAAATTCAGCCGCATAGCAGATACAAGGGGGGTTGGGATTTTCGACCAATTAGAACGAGATGTGCAGTTGCGACAACTCTTAAGAACTCTAGCGATCGCTCAGTTCGATGTTGATAAAGTGAAGACGGAACAGGACGAGTGGGAAACGGAACAAGATGAGGATCCCTATACTCACTCGAAGAGACGATGGAAGAACCTTTCCACGGATAAAAAAAAATTGGTTTTGGACATCATGGTTCGGACTTCTCAATCTCTCATAGCAGGACAAACATCGAACGCCACTAAACAGTCTGATAACGCAGAAGATGTCAGCATTATGGAAGGCGTCCCTCAACAGCAAGCAGAGAAAGCGCCTCAGTCTTTCGTTGGAAATTCTCGAATGGAGGCCGCTGGTCTTTTCACAGCAGATTTTGACTGGAACAAAGTGAGAGCATCTGCTTCATGACAATATCTGATTTCTGATGTTCTTAGCTCCCTGATGCGCTGAAGGTTGTATTTGATAAACAAGTGAGTGAACGGATGAGAGGATGAATAGAAATTATATATATAAGAAGAGGAGAATCTAAGTCTAGAGTTTCAAACCCCAAATCTTCAATTTTGGATCCTTAGGGGCGTCGGCAAGAAATAATCGATGGGAAGACATTTTGGGAATTTCTGCGCAAGTGCAGAGTCAGTGGGTCACTCTGAAACTCCTTGGAGTTGCGTCTCTTGTAGGCGATGACGAAGAAGGAAGAAGAAGAGAAACAGCCGGTAGAGGAAAGCCAACCAGAACATGAGGAAATCTCGACGGATCACTTCATGCACATGTTAGAAATGATGATGAAGGAGAAAGCTGGAAGAACGGAAGAAATGGAGGAGGAAGCACAGGGAGACCATGATCATGAAATGGAGGAATGGATCCAACGGCGCAGCAGCGCAACGAATAATGACCTTGGTAGGCAGAGATGCTCTTGTTGCCAGATTCCTTGTTCTGTTCTCAGTGACACAAGCCTTGATGGCCTTGATGGCTGGTGGTCACATGATGCCAGCATTGGATAGTGGCATGACTGATAAAGACATAAGAGAAAGGAAACTCCAGCAATTTTTAGCAGAAAAGAAACGCGATACTGATCAACAATTTGTTGCAGAGATGTGGGAATGTTTGTTACAAGATCATTCTTCGGAGATAAAGCAATCAAGACGCAGATTTTCAATGACATTTGGTAAGCGGTGTTGATGCGCTGAAACCAATACCTGGTAATAATATAGCGATAATATATAAGAATGATGATATATAAAGAGTGATGATACCAAGAGTGATGATATTTATAAAGAGTGAAATACAAAGTGCGACAAACTAGCAAAGGTGATGGCTGACACGTTTTGCGCTGATCAGGGCTTCGCGAGCGATTCATGAATTGGAATAAGAACAAGCAGAAAAAGGATTGATGTCCCCGAAGACGATTTGAGAAGTTGAAACCGGACAGAAAAAAGAATTGAGGGAGCATAAAAGGGATGAACTTTTCAAGGACCTGAGGGTGTGGAGGGTTCTTGGAACATGGAGACGATGCAGTCAGCGGAAATTGCATCGTTCCATTCCTTCTCACAATTCCAGCAGTTGTCTTGAATCTGTTTGTACTGCCGATCTTTTTCTGCCGTCAAATACAGATGCCACGCATGCACGTGAGACAGCGGCACCGGTTCTGCGTTAGACTGTGGAATTTTCGGCCATTGAAGCAGCTGAGGATTCACTGAAAGACAGATCGAGAGGCATCAGCAAGACAGTCGAAATATATTCAATGACATATTTTTAAAGCATTCCATTTCATGTTGCTCTTACAGACATCGAGGGGGTCAGAATCGAGCGGGTCAGAATCGAGCGGGTCGGGCAAATTCTGACACTTCTCCACGCTTTGGATCCTTCGCTCAGCGTACGACTCGACGACTTTGAGAGCGTCAAAAAGTTCCACTGAAAGAACGACGGTTGAAGTCTCGTCTCCGTGATCGGTCGGGTTGCTGCAAAGTTTTTCCAATTCTTGCATCGCAACATCATGACTGGAAGTAGCGGCAGTCAAGCGTTGCACCCTGTTTCGTTTTCTAGCTGCTCTTGGCCCGATTTCACCACGTTTTCTCTACAAGGCATCAGAACCATTACACTGTTGTTTCTGCAGAGCGACGTACTGGTGGAACATGAGTTTCAAAACATTTCAACCAATCCTTCGTCCTTATCCATTCCCTCATTATATCGACGATCGTGTTCAGATTCAAAATTGGAGAAGTGATCGAGGAAATGTATTTCTGCTCGGAAGAATGACAGTAACACACCAATAGATGAATATAATATCATTGAGTTTTTCAGGTTGGCAGTCTGTACTGAAGCTTACTCTAATTGGTAATTTTCTGATCTTCAAGTCCAAACCGAGCTCTTTCGCTTGCACCCATGTTTCGTTCTACAGAAATGAAAATGATCATTTCCAGAAAGTGTCTTCCCGCTTACCTTAGCAACAGTTCTGTCCACCAATCCACCAATAATGTAAACATGGTGAGTGTCGAATCCCTCTAACTCTTCTTCAGCATCAGGAGAAAGAACAATTACTTCTTCGGGGTTGAAAACCTCCCAGTAAGGAGCTCCGTGGAAACGAGCCTAGGGATAGATATTCAGTATTTTTGAATCAGCACCAGAATTTATCCCATAAAGGGTTGAGAGAGCGGTCCCTCGACGCACCTTCCAGCCTGGTAGACCAAAACCGTTGCATCGTTGAATGAAAAAACTGTTTGGATCTTCAGGAAATGAAGTGAAATTGTATTGAATTTTAACATCAAGATTACGCTTCAGTCCCACATAACAATAACCTAATTGTTGAGCTAAACTGGCGACCTCCTGAAAAAGGGATCACGTCGTCATGGAAACAACACGAGATCAATCAATGCAAAAAAGTTGAACAAATCAGTAACTCACTTTATCAGACATGACGTTCCCAAAACTGCAATTGAAACCGACTCGATAGCAAAGTTCTGGATTTCGCCGTTCATAACAATCTTCCAAGTGTTGCATCATTGCTTCATGTTTTGCGATGCGGATGTTCTTTTCTAATTGGAGTTTCGCTGCTTGTTGCTCTGTAACAGAACCAGTTCAAAGTTGAAGTGGTCGTTGCACCTTTTACCGTCTGTTAGATGCTCAAGCTCCGCTGCCGTTTCAAAGCGTCTTCGTTCCTTCCGTTTGCGCATTTCCTCCTTCCTTCGTAGTTTTTTGAACTCCACTTTGCGGGTCTGAGCTTCACGCTTCTTTGCAGCACCAGACAGCCTTTTCTTCGGCGGCCCAGAATCGCAACTCCCCGGGCAGTCATCCTGAGTTCTGCCATTTTCGTCGATGCTAGTCCCACATTGAGTCTCCTCTACAAGAGGGTTCATTATCAGGCCACGCCTGGCGGGACAGCTTTTAGGACAAACAGGCAGCTCTTCTGGTGTGGTTGGGCCTCCTTCTTTCCGTCTTCCTGGCTTCGAGTTCTTGTAGTCCCCAGTACCAAACTGCTTGTATGAGATCATCGTCACCGGGCAGACTTGGAAGTCTTCACGCTTGTTAATCATTCAAATCCGTTTGCATTTAGATTCTCAACATCCATCCAAACAACTTGAAAGCGTTGCAGGGTAACCGTTTGATGAAAAAGTTAGAGGACATACAGCATGGGGTAATGCACATGAAGAAAAAGTTGAAAATACTTAATAGAAATAATTGAAGGGGGGCGTTCGAGCCAACCCTTTCATAACAAAAGCCAAAACTTATTGAAGATTATTATTGAACAAAATAAATTCTAAACTAAGTAAATTACTTTCTTCTGGCATCAAGTAATTCATTAACGGCAATCGCCCATCCATCATCATCGTTACTTCTCGTGACAACATCTGCTCGATCTTTGACTCGTTGAATTGCATTTCCCATAGCGATTGCATGCCCGCAGATGGTCATAGCGCCCTCATCATTCTCTCCATCACCGAGATACGCGATATTTTCAAGTTGATAGCCCAACTGGGAACACAACTTTCTAACAGCTGGGGCCTTTCCAGCTTCGCGCGGCGCTAATTCGAGATAACGAGGAATTGCTGCAGCCATAATCACCTCATCGCCTAGCAACGCTTTCAGTTGGGGTTTGAGCTTCTCAACCGTCGAGGGATTGTGACAAATAATTCCCAATTGATTGATTCGTCTCGTTTTTGAAAATTCAAGTAAGGATCCCACAATTCTAAAATTCAACAATAAATAATCTGAACTGAATTCAACAATAAATAATCTGAACTTCTACGGGGTCGACTCCCCAAAGCAGCAGCGTTTTAGTGAAATCAGACGCACCTGTGCTTTCCATCGCTGAATTGCTCCGTCTGTCAATTGACTTTCTTCTTCATAAACGAAATCGCCACGAGAGCACGCACCAACGTAGGTCGGCTTCAAATCGTGATTAATAACAGCTTTGAATCCATGAACCAACGGAGCATCCCTAACTTCGGGATCCTTCTCCCAATCTGGATTGCACATGATCTGCTGGTTGAGCTCCTTGACAAAACAAAGTGTCTTTCTAAGGACGCTGTCACTAATGAATGACTCGTGAATAATGTCATTTTCACCACCTGGCCCATAACGACGCATCCATTAAGATAGATTCCAGGAAATGGAGACAGAGAGGCAATTTTCGCCTTCTTCAAGTTGTTTCTGACACCAGCAAGCGAACGACCTGTACACGGGATAACTGGGATGTTCATCGAATGAGCCCTTTCTGTTGCTTCTACTGTTGAATCCAAGACATGCAACGCAGACGCAAAGAACGTCCCATCCATATCTGAAACGATGGCTTCAAGCCAAAAAAAGGATGAGCGAGCAAGTGATCTTGGAGAGGAGGGGGACGACGGGGAGGAGGTGGAGGAAGGGAGACTTCTTAGAAGCGGACTGGAAGGGGTTGACATTTTAGAGACCAGAGGAAATCAGTAAAACAAATTAAAACTGAACTAGGAAAATTGATGATACTGAAGGGTGTTGAAGGGGATGGAGGGGTGTCGGTGGTGTGCTCTCCTGCAGTCCAAATGGTGTATTGCATGTCTTACACAGATCAGTAATACCACATGCTTCAGAGGTCGATGTACCGTTCAGTATCTGGGTCCCTCACAACGCTTCTACCAATCCTACGCTTGATGAGAATTTGCTAGCTCATAAAATTGTCGTGATGATTTTTGGTTCATTTATGTTTCCAGTACGATGGGATTCATCTAAGCTATCCGCATCTAGCTTTCGGAATGTGCGGCGAAGTCAACTTCAGAGAAATGGCTCTTTGGCATCAACATGATCAAACACCAATGTCCTCACGCTAATTTTGTCCAATTGCTTTCGTTGTTTGTGCTTTACCCAAAAAGTATTCATCACCATGTAAACTTTCTTGCGCGAACTGTTCCGTGTATGTGTAAGGGGGGATGGTAGCTGTGTGCACCAGCGAGACACGCCGTAAATTGCTCTCGTTGCCTTTCCTGCGGACGAGCAAACGGTGAATCTTAGAAGCAGGTGCCTTTATTCGTGTATAGGAGAGAACGTCGGTGGATGGGAATGGGGCGTTTGGGCAACAGCTTTCTTACGGTCTCATTTGAGGGAACTGCTTTCTCCAATCGCGATTCAAGATTTTCCGCACGGAGACCAAGAATGCTAAGAGCCTCCTTCAAGCGAATAAGCTGAAAATGAACGATACGGAAATGATGATAGTTAACGATATGCATTTCATGCCCTCCAGAAGAGTGTTGGTTCAACCCTTGCAAGTACCTCTGATATCTGAAACTGATTCTCTTCAAAAAAGTCGATAGTGCGAAGTTGATGCTCAAAAAACGTGTGTAAGGTTGAATTTCGGTAAGACATCTACCACGACAAGAAAGGAGAGTTTGCCACGTATGCAGATGCTCAATAGTTTATTTATGAATCCATCATCCGATACAAGTATTCCACGACTTACGGTTGCACATGCAACAATGCCGCGGAAGAGCATTTTGCGTGAACATGACGATTGGGAAGCCAGAAGATCAGATACCGTCTGAAAAAGCAGCTTTCCCATTTGGAAATTCATAAAACTTCATTACGTTGAATAATTGATCATCGACAAGTTTCACTGAAGACCATAAATGAAAAATGAGAAGAAGATCGGCAGATTTGAAGGATGACAGGCGGGATGGCGGAGGGTTATCCTTTGAAGCTATCTGGGTGTTTGGATTTCTAGAGTCGTAAAGAGGGGGAAGTGCTCTGGATAACTTGCTGGGAACAACTACCTCAGTTCTTGCTGAGGATCGCCTTTCTTCGGTACCATCAACGCCTCAGTGAAGTACTTGAATAACGCCCTGTTCTTGATATCAAAGGAGACAACGTGTTTTATCATTTGAGTGAACTCGGTATCTACGAATGGAGAACGCGGTGAAAATGTGATGACGCACTTGGTTGCGTGTGATAGATTCCATCACATACAGACGAACTTGAAAGATATAAAAGATCAGGAGATGATTTCGCTTTATTCTTCAAAACCATTTCGACTTTGGCGGACAACGTTGGAGGATGATAACCAAGCGAGTTGAGGTTTTCTAGAATCTGAAGAATAAAGGACGAGTTTGTTGAATAGACACGATAGCCTTGGCCTGACATCAACGCTAAAGTCGCTCAAAAGGATGCCGAAAGAAAAAGGTTATCGGAATATTCGAACCACTAAAATCCAATACTACATCAGCTACTAAAGGGACCTTGCGTGTTTTAGGGACATCAAACACTCTGGTTCGCCGCTTCTCTAGATGTGAATATCTCTCACCTCGAGCAATTGAGAAGTTGAATAATCATGAAGCTTTGCTCTTAAAAGTACAACAAATGTTCCCTGCAGAGCGCTCACAGACGGTCTCCACAGTCGAGCGAGTCGTGAAAGCTGATCAACAGAAAAGCTGATTATCTACGATCTCCCTGTTCCGGGCGAAACTCGATTGGAGTGAGAACAATGCACCTCGAATAAAACTATCTTGTCAATATGCTTCTTGTGGTCGTGGGCTTTCTGTAGCCCCTCGAAGCAGGCTTCGCACAACCCCTGCACATTGATTAATAATGTGACCGAATAACCAATTCCTGGGATCTCTACCTTTGCGTTTATCCGCCCTTTCATTTTGATCAACACTTCCATTTGCTTGGATAATTCAAGCTGGTCAAACGGGCAACTCTTCTTGTCGGTGTCACTGGTGTTGTCTTCAACGGGACCTAAGAGCCCTGCAAGCACTGCCTTCAGACAACCTGCATCTCCTGGAGACGAATCTTCTGAAAGCTTGATGACTGCATCGTAAAGCAATTCTGCACTGAAGGCGTGTGGATGTTGCTGGATCAGTTTCATCGTGGGAGGCAGAGATTTCCATGAATCCATGATTCCTATGAGAAGCAGCCAATACGTCAGTGAGTTTTCATTTGGAGGTCGTTGGCAGAATTCTCGAGCTCACCTTTAAATTCCCGACAGACGACAAGAATGGAGTGGACGAGATCTGGAGTGGCTTTGGACGAAAGAATTCTATTTTTGATTTCATCATCAACGGACAGCAATGTGTGCGCAAGAACGGAGGAAGGGATAACGAACTTTCCCTTTGAAAGAACACGGATGCCAATTGCAATAATTTCCGCTGGTACTTCAGGAAGTCGGTCGACCGATAAATGTTGAATGATTCGCTTAAGCAATTTTTGTCCTTTAGAAGGGTCGTGACTCAAAATCCAATCAGAAAGAAAAAGAACATCCTGAGAAGAATTGAAATTGACGAAGCATCAATGACTCATTGTGTTGCACGAGCAATACACGCCCCATTGACATACTTTGAAAGGTAATTCGTCAAATTTGTCGTTCACTCGAGTCGCCAAATCTTTGACGAACTCAGTCGTTGGAGCTTGACCGGAATCGTGGATAGATTGAATGATCTTCGTCAGCTTTAGAGGGCTTACAGCGCAAAGTGGTGTCTGTGGAGATCTTGACCTTGATGAAAAAGAGGAGAAAGAACAGAGGGTGGAAGGCTGTTGCCATTGCAATGCAAATAATTCGTTGTGCTTAAAATTCTGGTATTGTTGTGGAGCCTTGAGCTTCCAGCGAAACGTTCGTTTCATATCGATAGAATCACAAAAAACAGGAAACGAGAGAAGAAAAACTTTTGAAAATTATCGTCGAAGAAAGATCGGTACAAAAAACATTTCAAGGGAAAAACAAAAAAGACCAAAAAGAGTCAATTTGGGGGGACAAAAACGATACTTCCGCGCTTTCCAAGTTTTTTCGGTTTTTCTTCTCGTTTTGGTTCGTCGGGAAGTCGGTGCTTATCAACGAAACGTTTGTTGAATTGTTCATCAAACTGATCGCCGGACAAATGATCAGTCGTTTCCTCGAAATCACGGCTTGGCTTATTCGTTTGACTCTCTTCTAGTGCACGATGAGCAGGTACGATTTGGAATGTGATACGCGTCTTGGCTGACCCTCCCGAGTTCCGACATGTAATCATGAACGTGGTGCGAGGGAAGGAGATAGGGGCTTGTCGTTGTTCACTAGACGGATCAAGAGCGAAGGTCATTCGTCGTCCTCCAGGGGCCAGAGGGTTAACGGGGAGCATCGAGCGGCGGTGCTGTAATGGATTCAGTGGAGGATTTAAAATAAAATCTAACGGAAGCAACCAAGAACGTTCGGAGTCTGGAATTCTTCCAAAGAGTGCTCCTAAACCGCGCAAACACACGAGTAAATATTTAGGATTATTTGTTGGGGGAGATTTGTTAGATCGTCTCTTCATCTGATCCCATTGCTTTCAGGAAGGCTCACCAGTTTTAGAATCGAATGTAAGTCCTAATTTGGCTGGCAATCGAGGAACAATTGTCCACCGAAGTCGATCTCTATCGCATCTCCCGTTTAATGTTGGCTCCAAACGCACAAGATCTCCAGGGCGGAAATACAAACATGGCCACGGGTCCTCGTGCTCAGCGCGAAATTTCCGAGGAACAAAATACCGAAGACGCATAGGCTTTGGATCTTTTGGTGGACCAGGAGCCTCGTTCACTTTATCTTTTCCATCCTCCTTCGTTGGAGAATCTCTTAAACGTTTCTCGAGTTCATCCCCAAAAATTGCTGTCATTCTTAATTGCAATCGTTCTCTTAACTTTTCAGGATCCTGTGAAGTTCCCGCTTGCAATGAAACAGCTCCAAC